CTTTCTTTCTTTCTTTCTTTCTTTCTTTCTTTCTTTCTTTCTTTCTTTGAGGGAAGTTAAGACCTGATAATCCTGGGTATTTCAGAGTTGCTTTTGGAGGTTTTTTTTTATTGTTCTTAAACACTGAAGAGGGAGAGCTGGTGCTTAATTATTGAAAGCAGTGCCATGAATCAAACCGACCTGGAATCTACATGTAGAAATCAGAGTTTGTGTACAGGGGTAGAGCAACATAGACGTCTTGCTATGGGCAGAAGGGAGGGAGGGTGGAAGGAAGGAAGGAAGGGTCAGTCACTGATGGTCAATCATCTCATCCTAAAGGAAGGAAGGAAGGAAGGAAGGGTCAGTCATTGATGGTCAATCATCTCATCCTCTGGTAGGCTGTGCATCTCATGACCAGTCATACACTGGTTGTAAAATAAGTTGTGTGACTTAGTGACACAAAATATATCCTGTCAGAGGGGGAAAACTACTACACAAATGTTCCATTGTGTGGAAAGTTTATACTCAAGCTTTCAGGGTACACATCTGTGGCATTTGCCCTTGTGGCCCCTGCTTGTCTTTCCCTCACAAAGGCTCACATCGTGTTTTCCTCTTGCTGCCACCAATGGATTACGTCAATCCACAATATACCGTAAATGACGTTTGTTAGAACACTTGCCTTGTGAAGAGAAACAGAACTTATTTATTGGAGTGAAGCAGGCTGAATAATAACATAAGTTCTTCAGATACACATTGTACATAAGCAAATCATCAATAGTTCTCTCAGTACATACTTCTTTTCTCTTGCTATATCTTTACCACCTTCTCTACCTATTTTACTAACCAGCTTTATCTCTATCAGTATCTGTTCCCTCTCTCTCTAACCAGCCTTATCTGACTCCTCCTTCTCCCGCCAAGCCTCATGTAGCTGCTGACTCCACCTCTCCAGTCCTCTCATAGGTTCATGCAAATCAGCTCATGAATATGAATGGCATGAATGATGTGGGAGATCGTCACATTACCTTTTCAAAGTGGCTTATCCATGAGATCAAAAAGAGTCCATAAATAAACAGTTTGACAGTAGCCACCACATGTCATAATATGGCAACTCTGTAGTGCAATTTGTCAGAGTCCTTTTCACAGGCTCCTCGGTCCCCATTTGACTTGGTATGAGGACTGTGTCTCAGTGACAGATCACCATTTTGCATACAGAACTTTCCAGCTTTATTTACAGAAAAATACTCTCTGTAACTCTGGTGAGTCAGAGATGGCTAGAGATACCTGTGGTCTGACTGAGTACGAGGCACGTACCTCTGCGCCAACATCCCTGAGAGGGAGAAGCAGCGAGATTGTCCAACTGCAAATTGTGATGTCCTCTGTCCACCCTTGCTCTCCTGGCTTGCATGCAGGACATTAATGGCAATGTCTTTGGATTTTGTTTGGGCGATTCTTTGAGAATTCTGGGAGTTGGAATCAAATAAATAAATAAATAAATAAATGAATAAATGAAAGAAAGAAAAAAAGAAAGAAAGAAAGAAAGAAAGAAAGAAAGAAAGAAGCACAACCTAAGTGTTGCTGGCCATGCTGACTAGGGTATTCTGGAAGTAATCCTCCAGAAAAGGAACTTCTGCAAGCTTAGACGAAGTTCAGTATCCTGTGGCCATGCTGACTAGGGGATTCTGGAAGTAATCCCCCAGAAAAGTAACTTCTGCAAGCTTAGACGAAGTTCAGCATCCTGTTTCCTGTAGAGGCCAAACAGACATTCCTAAAGGAATCCCACTTACAAGACATGAGGCCAGCAGCTCTTCTTTCTGACCCTGGAAGTGGCTTGTAGCCATAATGACCAGCAGCCCTCTACAAGAAGGTGATGGCCATACTGGTCAGTATCACCTTGGACAATCAGCTGAAAATGAATGATTTCTTCCTAAATATTACCTGAAACATACACAGAAACAGCTCATTTTATTTCTAGGGAAAGTGAAGAGGCTACGAAGATCTCGTGTTGATTAAGACTCTTTGTTCTTAATTTCATAATGACATTGCAAAAAACAAAACAAAAAAAACTTGTGGGGAGAGATGTGTGTGGGGTGTGATGGTGAGATATGTTCTCTACTGCTTCCCTAATTATACGACATAGCTGGTAGGGAATTGATCTCAGTTTAAATGTGAATGTCATTCCACCTCTTTTAGTATTATGTTTTTCAATAATCCATTTCAATTAATTTCCCGTCGGTCACCAGCCCCCCCCCCCCCCCCGCACTGCCTTTGTGTGCAGCTTTTGGGGTTTGATTGTACATTGCTCACAAATTATATATGGCCCCTTTTGCTCAGTGGTTTCCTTTTTTTCTTCCCCTGCCTGCAGGATGAGGTCCTGTGCCAAATCAATGCTTCCAGCTCAGTGGCTGTTCCTGGCATATGCGTTAATGGTGTGCTGTAAATTGTTGTCCGCGACCAGCCACCATCCCCGGGGGCACCCAGGTAGGCGCTTTTAAGCTCATTATGCACTGCTGAGGCCAATTAATAACACTGTCCAAATGTGAGATTCCACTCTTTAGCCATGGATAATTGATGAAGTTGTTTGACAGTGGGTTGCGATCAGAAAAGAAGAAGTGGGGGAAGTAGGTTAGGAAGCCATGTGTTCACTCAAAGAAAGATGAGTTATTGGCAAGGTTTGACAGCGAGGCCATGGCCACATTTATGGAGAGTTATTTTTGAAGAGAAGTCACGAGACCCCTAAAGTTGAGGCATGTTCTCTTTTTATCTGTTACCTGTGCTCAAAAACAACAACAGCAAGAACATGTCATAGAAAATAAGTGGTGATGGTGGTAAAGATTGTTTACTATCTATACCAAAGATTGGTTACTATCTATCTATATTTCAGTTGTTAGGTTGTATGTGTGTTTTTTTTTAATGCAATAAGCTGATTACCTCAACAAAACAAATTCCTTCTCGGAACAGCTGTTACTTCTATAAGCAGCTGGCAGGCTCTCTTCCCTTCCATAAGATTAAAAAAAACCCAGACTGTATTACAACCAATTTTTCCAGCTGAAGAGATAATTAAAGTGTGATTTTGTGTGTGTGTGTGTGTGTGTGTGTGTGTGTGTTTGTGTTTGTGTGTACGGATAGACACACATGCACACACGTTTGTCTGGGCTATGGTGTCTCCAAACCAAAGAACTGGGGGAGCTTGAAAACCAGGTCTTTCTCTACTCATGGACCTAAGGACTGGAGACAGAATCACAGGGATAAACCAAAAGTAAGAGGCTGTGTCTCTCCCTCAGTAGCCCCCTTGGGCTCTAGGAATCTTTAGGATGCAGAAATCTATTTCTATGCACAGCTACCCCTCTTTCTACAAACAATGGGAAATTCTCTGTGTTGACTTTTGGTCCAAGCTTGTTTTCTTTTATCATAGAATCATAGATTCGTAGAACACTTCACTTGGAAGGAGCCTGTAAGATCATGGAATCCAGCACCCTGCTAAGTGCAGGACAGATTACAGTAGAGCTGACAGGTGGTTGTTCAATTTTCTCTTGAATGCCTCCAGTGTTGGAGCACTTGCCACTTCTTGAGGTAATTGGTTCTATTGCCATACTACTCTAACGGTTAAGAAGCTTTGCCTGATATTCAGCCAAAGTCTGGCTTCCAGTGAGCCCATTTTTACATGTCCTGCACTCTGATCAAGAGCAGATCCTTCCCTCCTTTGCCCTTACTTCCTATCTCAATGTCATACAATAATCAAATTGTTGCACTTGATGTCATTGAGCTTGGTTCATAGCTTTGTGAAACCAATGAAGCCCATTGAGTGCCTTCAGCATGTGATGAACTGAAGAAGGTTAATAGAAAATGTCTTATTCTAAGTCACATCTTTGGCACATCTATTCCAGCTTTATCAATCCAAACTGACAGTAGCTCTCTGTGTTTTCAGTAGGCCTTTTCTGAGCCCTATGTGGTTTCTCTCTGGTGACCTTCCAGCCAAATACTAACTAGGTTTAACCCTGCTTTGGTTTCAAAAATCAGGTGAGATTGGGAACATTGAGGATGGTATGAGTGTGGTGTTCCTCAGCCTTGCTCCAGTTGAAGGGCTGTTGTGGAAATAAAGGAACAAATATTTGCAAGGCACCCTGTATAACAAGAGAAACTTTGACTTGAGACATTATTTTGAAAATTAGAGGTTTTCTTGTGTAGGATTCTATGTAATAGCTAGGGATGGGAACATTTGAGAACAATATACGGTGGTGCCCCGCTGGACGATTACTCCTCTCTACGACGAATCCGCTTAACGTTGAAGTTTTTGCGATCGCAAAATGATGTTTAGATGGGGGAATTTTGCTTAACGTTGATCGGTTCCCTGCTTCGGGAACCAATTTTTCGCTTTACGATGATCAGCAAACAGCTGATTGTCGGGTTTTAAAATGGCCACTGGCTGTAGAAAATGACTCCCCGCTGTGTTAGGGACGGATTCCTCGCATTACAGGCACCAGAAAATGGCTGTCGTATGGAGGATCTTCACTGGACGAGCAGGTATTTCGCCCATTGGAATGCACTGAACGGTTTTCAATGATTTCAAAGGATTTTTTTATTTCACTTGACAACGATATTTCGCTCTACAGCGATTTCGCTGGAATGAATTAACGTCGTCAAGCGAGGCACCACTGTACATTGTACAAAGAGCTCCCCAAAGTTTTGTCTCTGTCTTTATCATATTAAAATTAAATTGATGTGAGTGACAAAATTCAGCAGAACACTAAACTCTGCAGGAGAGGTGATGTATGGCACCTAATTCCAAGGAATTCCAAAGAAAAGAACTGTAGTGTTTGCATAGCTGACCTAAGTGGCCAGTTTAGTCCCTCCAATAGGTGGATGAGTCATAGAATATTTTTAAAGCAGTAGAAAGGGGAAGAAGAGGTGAAGACCAGTGGATTACACCTTCTGTCTAGCCACTCCCAACTTCTCCTGTGTCCCTGCATCATGTCATTGTCCCCATCCTGTAGAGGTTTAAATAGATTATGTGATTTCCCCCTAACTAGATGGTGTGAGTTCATGCATATGAATATCACAGGAGTTTCTCTCTCTCAGCTTTGAAAAACCTTTTCTAAGGTCCCATATTTCTCCAAAATAAAATAAAGATAACTCATTTACGAGCAAAGGAATTGAGGAGACGATCAGGTGACATGCTGGGAGAGATCCCCCCTCTGCAAATTTTGAGCATTTTTGTTTGTTTTGGCTTTGTTTAGCTCATCCCTAGTTATAGCGGGCCAAAATATTTGCTCAGCTAGTCTGGTATTGTCTGTCTTGCTTGGCCATAGTTGTTCAGGGCTTGAGGCAGAGTTTTGGATACCATCTGTACCTAGTTCTTTTTGAAAGAGATACTGAGGTTGAACCTGGGTTCTAATCTTGCAGAGAATGTTTTCTACCACTGCTGATAGTTGGTTTCCACACTATTCCGGCAAGAAAGAAAAGTGAGAGGCTTCTAAAGAAATTAGGAATGGCTGCATAAGAAATTTTCAGATGAAAATTTAAAAGAAGACATGTATAGGAGATATGTAGGGGATGATACAAATCACTCTGAAGGAGCTCAGATAAGTAGTCTATATAGGGATAAAGTCAGATTTTCAAGAAAGGTTAGAAATAACAAAATGTGTTTTTTTCACGTGTGGAAAATGAAAGAACAAGGAAGTGGTGGATCTGCTATGTGGAGACGTTGGAGAAATGCTGGGGGTGGACAGAAAGAAGATGGACATTCTCATGCCCTAGTTTGCCTTCACCATTTTCCAGAAAGAAAACATTACTCAGACTAAAGAAAATGTAGTAAAGGAGATAGTGAGAAATGCCTCCTAAGAATGGTTAAAATATGGTATTGGAACATATAGCTACTCTAAATGACTTCAGATCTCCAGGGTATTAAAAAGGCTAGCCAGTGTAATCACAGAACCTCTTATGTATAAGTGTTGTGATTTCTTGGAGAATAGGTGAGGCCGCTGAGGGCTAAAGGTAAGCAAATATCACCCCATCTTCAAAAAAGGGGAAAATGGGGACACTGACACCAGGAAATTTTCTAGAACTAATAGTTAAACAATCTGTAAACACTTATACATGGTGATTACTAAGAGGCAGCATGGGTTCTCCAAAACATGTCATGCCAAGCTAATCTTGCCTTTTTAAAAATTAGAATTGCAGACTTAGGATCAAGGGAATGCTGTGGATGTAGTTGGTTACAGCAAAGCTTCCAGTGAGGGACCTTGTGATATTTTTGTGGACAAAAGAGTCAAACTGTTTGCTAGACAGTGCTAGGTGGATTTGTAGTTGACTGGTGAGTTGTACTTAAATGCTTACCATTTCTCTCTTGTCTTTTGGGAGGCAAGAGGCAAGGGGGTGTGTGCCAAATCAGGTTCTGTGCTGGGGTTGATTTGATCAACATTTATACAAAGGAAGAGGGGATGCTTTTCAGATTTGTGCATGACATCAAACGGGGAAGATTAGCCAATACAGTGGGGTCTTGACTTGAGAACTTAATCCGTATTGGAAGGCGGTTCTCAAGTCAAAAAGTCTGTAGTCAAGTCTCCATTGGAGTTGTACTTAAATGCTTACCATTTCTCTCTTGTCTTCTGGGAGGCAAGAGGCAGGGGGGGGTGGTGGTGCCAAATCAGGTTCTGTGCTGGGGTTGATTTGATCAACATTTATACAAAGGAAGATGGGATGGTTTTCAGATTTGTGCATGACATCAAACGGAAGATTAGCCAATATATCAGAAAGTGGAATCAGGATTCAAGATGATCGTAGCTGGTTGGAGGAATAAAACAAATGAAATGAGTTTCAAGAGAGATATGAGTAGAATTCTGCATTACGTAGGAATAATAAGATGTACAGATATATGTTAGGTGACAAAGCTGGAATTATTGTGAATGAAAAAGGTCTAGAGGTCTTCAAGAGCCAGAAGTTACATATGAATCAACAGCATGATGCAATAGCACAAAGAGCTAACACAGCTGTATCAACAGAATTCTAATGTCTAGATGAAGAGAACTAATAGTACTATCCTGTTCTGCTTAGGTTTGACTTTATCTGCATACAGAATTCTAATGTCTAGATGAAGAGAACTGATAGTACTATTCTGCTTAGGTTTGACTTCATCTGCAGTACTATGTATAGTTCTGGGCCCCCAGTCTAAGAAGGATATCAAGATTTCAGTTTTTGGCGCTAAAGATCTGTCAAATCAATTGTGCAATCACAATAAGTTTATGCAAATAAGTGCAAAGGCATTGCAGAAATAATGGTGTTCAGATGGCACAATTTAGTGTTTAACAGATATCTTAACTGTTTTCCCACCTCTACATAATTTCATCTTTGCCACCCTTGAAACTGATTTATGTCCATTTGTCACTCAGGGTATTATTAATTAAGAATGTTCTGTAACATCTGTTTTCTTACCATTGTCAGTTGATTCCGTTTAAAAACAAGATTCCAGGTTAATAGCTCCA